AAGTTTGTACATGAATATTCACAAAACACTTGCAATAGCCAAATGTAAAAACCACCCTAAGTCCATTAGTTAGCACCTACTTCATCAAAATGGAGTATAATCTTACAGTTACATTAGTCCACAAAGGAAATAAAACAGAGTAAATTATAGAGATGCTGCAACATAAAATAAACCTTGAAGATATGTTAGTAAGTCAGAGGAGCCAGAAAGGGGACTGAGGAGGAACCTCAGTGGTTAAGAGGACTAGCTGCCTTTTGTTTTGTTTCTCTGTGTAGAACTGGCCATCCTGGAACTCCTTCTGTAGACCGGGCTGGCCTCAAACTCACAGAGATCCACCTGCCTTTGCTTCCTGAGTGCTGGGGGTTTGGAAAGAACCCCACAGTCCCGGGACACATCCCGGGGAGGGGCGCATTCCTTAGTGAGAGGACACTTGCTAGATTAACATTCAGAGGAGGAAGGGAGAGGCTGATTAACATTCTTCAGACTACAGGGGAGGGAACCCACCTGCGGGTAAGGAGAGCTCAGAGTGTAGATACATTCCAGGAATCAGGAAGCAGAGCCCTTAACGGAATAAACCTGGGCAAATGGAGGACACTCCTTGTCATAATCTTAGTCACCTAGGGACCAAACCCGGAAAGGTCAGACTTTGTGGTTTGCCCTCGTGAACTGTACTGTACCCATAAATGCTGTACCCAGCTCTTGTTCGGCACTCTCTTGCCTGCATGCGGGAGAGTCCTAGTGCACTAGTTTCATTAAACCAAACCTCATGTGATTGCAGTGAGTCCTGTCCGTGTGCGTTTCTGTGGGAACGCATCCCCTGGTTTTGGATCTTATAGTTCGAACACCACCACAGCCTGGCTTGACTTGCTGCTCTTATAGAAGACCCAGGTTCTGTTCTGAGTACCCACATGACAGCTCATTACCACCTATAACTCCAGTTCCAAGGCAGACAACACTCTAGGTCCCACAGAGACACCCATGTGCAGACATACATGCAAGCCAACATTCATATATATAAAATATATAAATATATCTTTTAAAAAGAACACAAGAAGCTGGGCGGTGGTGGCGCACGCCTTTAATCCCAGCACTTGGGAGGCAGAGGCAGGCTGATTTTTGAGTTTGAGGCCAGCCTGGTCTACAGAGTGAGTTCCAGGACAGCCAGGGCTATACAGAGAAACCCTGTCTCGAAAAACCAATAAATAAATAAATAAATAAATAAATATTCCAATTACACATTTCATCCCCCCCCCAGCCCCGTGTTTTCTCCCCCCTCCCGCCCCATTCGCTCCAGCGCAAGGGTTTTTTATTTCTTTATTATATGTAAGTATACTGTAGCTGTCTTCAGACACCCCACGAGAGGGCAGCAGATCTCATTTTGTTGTAAGCCATCATTTGGTTGCTGGGATTTGAACTCATGACCAATGGAAGAGCAGTCAGTGCTCTTAACAGCTGAGCCCTCTCATCAGTCCCCAAATACACATTTCTGAATGAACAATGCCTTGTTTGTTTTCTTACAGAAAATCACTTTCCGATCTCTCATATAATCAAAAGTCATATTTGCTAAAATATCTATTTTCCTCTATTATTAGTAAGTACCAATCAATTTTTACTCATGACATCCTAGACAGTTCTGCTGGGACCCTGCTGGAGTCTTACATCTTGACTGAAGCACTCGATGGACTCAGCTCTGGAGTGGATACAGGCTTTTCATATACTTTCAACTGTAAACATGTCATGGGAGAAAAAAATATGAACATATCCAAACAACAAAACAAAAAAACCAAGCCAACTAAGATAGTCAATTTCTAGAAACACTTCCTCCCAATATTGTGGCTGTGTTTGATTTCTATGACTTTGAGAAATGGTCACTGCTCTTTATCAAAACTCAATGACTATGCTTACTTAAAAACTAAAAATAAGCTATGTTCATAATTACCAACTTCTGAGGACTCTGGGAAAGATCACATTAGCTGTTTAGACAGAAAACTATCCACAAATGTGAGGTTCCTGGGACAGTCAGAGACACTGACAACTGACAGACCACTGGATCAGGCATTATTTACTGTTGGTTTTCAGTGAAAAAAAACTCATGCAGTCCAGATGGACCATAGACTCACCATGTAGTCAAGGCTGGCCTTGAACTCCCAGATCCTACTGCCTTTACTTCTAGGTACTAGGATTATAGTCCATTACCCAGCTTATCGATTTGAGACTTAATCTTCATACAGCTCTATGACAAATCTTTCTGTCTTTAGGACAAACACTGCTTAATCTGATACTACCAGGAGGTTGTTTGAGATTCAACAACAAAGCCTTTTTTCCTGTGTCCAAGAGGCAAGACAAGACAAAACCACACGGTAAAAACGACTCAGTGCTTACAGCAGGGACGGCGAGTTCTGATGAGACGAACGGAGTAATGCGTGTTAGAGTGGAAGAAAAGAGCAAGTGTGGCGTTGGAGCCCAGCCAGCCATCTGCTGGTAGAAGCTAAATGCAAGAATTCAGTGTGCAGAGGAAGAGGGAGATCAAGAGGCTTGGGTGATGAAGCCATGGGAATTTAGACACACTGAGTAAGCACTGCGCTTTCCGCTACCAAATGTAACAGCCTGATACTGTCCTCTAATTAAAAGAGGGTTTGCTCCATTCCTGACACACAAACTCTGGCTTTTTATAGCCTAAGTGGCATGCTATTTTAAACACACGGAGGAAATGCATTTTCAGTTACAAACACTGGCTCCTCTGCATCTGTCCTTATTTGTTACTGAAAGATGTGGGACAGGATGTTTTACTCTTCTGCACTGGTTTTCCTGTATTGCTTAAATCTGTTTAGAGAAAATGAAAACACACAACTTCTATAAACTGAAGCAATTTCCAAAGTATGTTGGGGGGGAGGGGATTCGGGGGAGCAGGGAAAACATTTTACCGTATTACTTTTCTTTTATATATTAGATGACTCCTCAAATTCTCCCCTTGAAAAGACCTTCCATACATGTGGAATGTGTTGCAGTTTCTAACATTTTCAATGATAAAACGAGTCTACTTTCAAACTCCAAAGCAGACGATTTCCTTTGGTATTCCAAGCAGTTTTCTGAGACACACGTCAGAAAAACAAGCAGATTACCCTTAAAGGGCCACTTGAGATTTTAAATGTCCTATATTCATGTACTTTTACTCAGATACTTAGATATTCTATATTCTGGTATATTCCATTATAGCTTTCAAAGTTGATTAGCACAGATTTCATTTACCTCTTTTTTAAGGGAGTCAGTAGGTCATTAATCTTCTGAAAAAGAATTCACTAGAATAGCTGCCAGTAACAGCAGCTGGCCTCTACCCCAGGAGCTCTTCTGTGCAGCCTGGTGATTCCCTCCTTCCTGTCGTCAGACTCATCTCTGTCCTTTTTTCAGCAGAGTTTCCATGCTGACCCTCATCTATGCCAGGACTGTACAGCTCAGGTTTGGGAGGAATCCCTTTCAGTCAATTTAAAGAGACTGTCCTATGCTGATAACCAATCAGCCCATATTTGTTTAGAGTCTGCTTAGCCAGTCTTCAGGACAATCAATACTGCTGATATGTTAACAGAAAAGGCAATTAGTATCTGAAAGAGGCCTCTTTCCTTTCACCCCACTTTCTGGGTCTCCCTGGAATCACTTCTCATATAAATAAACAACTTGCATGTAAACTTTTGTCTTGAATTCTGCTAAGCAAGTGTACTCTCACATACAATGTACACCACTTTAACAGCATTATTCACAGACAGGCTAAAGAGATGAAAATCTGCCTACATAGTTTAATAGGAAAACCTGATAGATATTTATTTGCTTATTTATTTATTTATTTATTTATTTATTTATTTTTTGAAGACAGGGTTTCTGTGTGTAGCCCTGGCTGTCCTGGAACTCACTCTGTAGACCGGGCTGACCTCGAACTCTGAAATCCGCCTGCCTCTGCCTCCCAAGTGCTGGGATTAAAGGCATGCGCCACCACTGCCCGGCTCAATTTTTAATGGGAAAAAAAAATATAAAATAAAACTTTCCTGTTTGTCAGGCATGGTGACACCCACCTTTAATCCCAACACTCAGGAGGAAGAGGTAGATAGATTATGATGTTTGACATTAGCCTGGTCTACATAGTTAGCTCTAGGCAAAGCCATGCCTGTATAGTACAACTCTGTCTTAAAAACTAGAAAAACAAACAAACACCAACTTTCCTGTTCAAAATAAAGGTGATTATGTTTAATGAGGTGACAGTCCCCATCTAAAAAGTCATAGAAGTCAGTTTAGGAGCCTGGCTTACCCAGAATTCTCTGCTGGCTGGTCAAAGATGCCCCTGTGATGAAGTCTATGGTCATTTCCTTAGATAGAGCCTACAGCCTTGGGCTTCTCTTATTTACTTTTTATATATGTTAAGATAGGAATTTTTGCTTTCTCAAAAAGAAAGGAATTCTAATCTTCAGCTAAAAATAAGTATGGAAAGATCAAAAGAGGTAAACTATCGAAATTTCTTTTTTTAATAATTCTTGACTGTTTTTCTTTTAGACAGGGGCTTACTATGATGCCTACTCTAGCCTTAAACTCCTTGGCTCAAGTGAACTACCTATCTCAGTCTCCAAGTAGTTGGGACGACAGATGTAGACCCCTGTGCCTACTCTGATGTTCCTTTGCCATGGGGTGGGGGGGCCTGGAACTAAGTACTCAATTCAAACCTTATTAAACGTCCTGATGAACTGCCAATATTGTCATGCAAAAAATAATTTTAGGTATGCAATTTCCATGTTCAGCTTTGGGGTGAGCTTCTTTCAGGCTGGGATTATTAAATGAGCAATCCATGCTAATTTTTCTAGCAAACTCCATTTGGGTAAATAAATACTTCTGACAAGGCAGAGTTTCATTCCCCTGTCTCAAAGGAGTGGAGACAGCTGCAGTTAGAAACCGGTCCTCATACAGAGAACAGTTTTCCCAGTGTGCCAACTACACCTGGGACTGAAACAAATACTCACCCTGACCCAGGAGGGAGTGGTGTCGCGGCTGAAGTGACAAGAGCCTGTGGTGTTTCTTTCTCTGTCTGTCTGAGGAAAGACTTGGCTTCCTTAGAGGCGGCATCTACTTCCTTAGTCACCCTATTTCAAGGAAAGAGACAACACACTTACAAGTCGGGTAAGAAGCAGAAATCAGGACCTGGGGAGATAGCACAGCAGTTACGAGCACTGGTTGCTCTTCTAGAGGACCCAGGTTCAATTCCCAGCTCCCACATGGCTGCTCACCACTGTCTGTAACTCCAGCTCTAGAGGACCCACCCTTACACACACATACATGCAGGCAACACCAATGTACATAAAATTAAAAATAAATAAATAAAAATGTTTAAAAGCAAAAATCATAGCAAATGAAATAAATGAAAACCAGGAACATACCACTGAGTTCTCAATAAATTCTGGCCACTGAGTCTTACGATTAAAGTTCACTCTAACAGTTCTATAAATAGGCATTTTCTCAGACTGACACTAACAACCAAAACCACAATGTAGTTCAATGTTCACCTTCAAGTTTCCCATTCTATCTGCCAGCATGAAGACTCCGACACCATCCAAGTCTCAGCTCACCTGGTTGCTAACACAGACCTACACAGACCCTGCCTGCACTCTCCCTCAATACCCAGATCAGCACTGACTCAAAGGGCCAATGAACAGTGAGATGGAGCTGCAACACAGGGACAAAGGCATTGCCATCATGTCAAGAAAAGCAAACGAATGGAAATACCCCGCAGAAGGCTCCTTCCTGTTCTACACCTTAAAGCCCAAGACAAAGCGCACTTTCTTTAAACTGGGCAAATTAGAACTGCCTAGGGAATGGCAGATTGGGACACAATCTCACCTCATTTCAAACTGAAAAACTGCATCCAATAAAAAGTTCTAAAGCAAGAAATAAAGATACTTAAGGTGCCCCATATTCCAGGTAATGAGAGGAGAAATATGTAATGCCTGTTTTGACATGCCAGAGCAACAAAAACATCTGAGGAATTCTGCTTAAACTCCAACCTACCAGGAGGCAGATCCAAAACTACAGTCAATGTATTATAAATGTTTAACCAAAGATTAACCAAAAATGATAGAATAAACCCTATAAAACCCATCTGTGAAGGTATACTAGTCTCTACCGCCTTCAAAAATAAATTTTCTAATAAAGGACTACCTCTGCTGTACTTAATACTGTGTGTTATGTAAGTGGCACAAAGTTAAGCATGGAGCCAAGATGAGACAAGCCAAACTCTAGCTAAAGCAGAGACACACCAGCAACACTCCAATGCTTACCTGCTGCTGCTTACAGCTGATGCTGGGCAGGTTTGCTCTACAGCACTGTCATACTGACAGGAAGCTTATTTACATCCCTAAGGATTAAAACTGAAATCTAAGCAGTTACTCAGCTAATTCAACTATACAGAGTCTACACAGCAATGCTAGTGAAAAGTCTGCCAAAAGATGGTATTTTCCAAACTGGTTGCCACACATTTCCTGTCCCATATGCTCCTCCAGAACCTTAAAGCAAACCCCTTCAAACTGATTAGGGTTTTATGACTATGTCACCTAAGGGAGTTCTGTGCAAGTAGCTGTATAAATGGTTCTGTACTTCAGACCTTCTGAAGCCTTCTCTGAGACTATATCTTTAGAATCCCACCCACTCTGCAGCATAGATCACATGGAAAGACACAGACACGAATGTCTGAGGAATCATTCCTATCATAAGGTATCTAAGTTCTTAAGCATCAGGACGGGAAATAAGTGGTCTTGAGGATGGTCCCAACACCGGTTAAAGGAAACAAGCCTACCTGGACCTAGCAGCCTCTGGACCTGTGAGGAACTGCAACAGAACAGCGAGCTGCTTCATGCAAGCTAGTTAACTTTAGGGTCATCTGTTAGACTGCTAAATCAATACCCAAAGTAAACCTGCATCAAAATCCTGGGCTTAATGCTGAACTCACAACACAAGAGCCCTTTAGGTCTCCCCGTCTTGTATAGACTCTACAGAAGACTGGTGAGGCTAATGAAGAACTAACACGTACTGTGCTGCCCACTTCCTACCAAAGTCCTACTAACAGTGACAACTAATGTGACCAATTCCACCACAGTAGCAAGTAGAGAGACAATAGAAAAAGATGTCCATCTAACTCTGAGAAAGTCACACACCAGATGGGTATGGTGGCACATGCCTCTGACATCTTTACAAGAGGACAGTGAGCGGAGTGCAGACGTTCAAGGTCATCGTCAGCTAACTGAGATTCTGACTCAAAAAAGAGCAAGTCTGGAAGGACTGACTGGCATTGTTTCCCCTCATCTCCAAAGCTTGTAGCCATGTGGAATGGATGACAAGAAAGTCAGTTTGTTTTACAGAACCCAAGAAAGGCTAATTAAATTTAATGATCAAAGGTTGAAGAGAGGCGCAGGCAGCCACAACCAGCTCAAAGTCTGCATTAGCAACAACAAGGTCTCTCTTACATCAAAACACAGGCTGTGTCCGACCACTGCTGATGCAGAGGGATCTAACACATTTAGAGAAAACAAAAACCAAAGACGACAGGCATAAAGAATAAAGCCCCATCCTGAAATTAAAGGAATTAAGTGCAAAGCCACCCTTAAAGGCTGTATATGCCAGAGGGCTGAGGGACAAGACAAAGTGCGAACCCACCCATAATGTACTACGAATGTACTACAAGAAACAGACACTTAACTGTTTGCTACTGAGGCACAGCTGTTGCCCAACAGCTAGTCTGAATTCAAATAATTAATACACACTTCAGGAAAAGGAAAAAAATACAACAACAACAACAACAAAAAGTCTAGAATTGAAGAATGAGCTTCAGCAAAGAGCCACACAATACTTGACTGACACAACAAATTTTAAAGGATCAGCAACCTAACTTTAAGAATGCTAGGATATGAAGAACAAGTGGCCCAAGTAACAAAGAGAAGAAAGCAGCAACCATGTAACAAAGAGAAGAAAGCAGCAACCATGAACTTAATGTTTGGCTTTGCTGTTCTTGTTTTTTTGTTTTGTTTTGTTTTTCGAGACAGGGTTTCTCTGTGTAGCCCTGGCTGTCCTGGAGCTCACTCTGTAGACCAGGCTGGCCTCGAACTCACAAATCCGCCTGCCTCTGCCTCCCAAGTGCTGAGATTAAAGGCGTGTGCCACCACTGCCTGGCTGTTGTTCTTGTTTTATAGCAGGACTGACAAGACTGATACACACTTAGGTAAACATGTTCTGGAAAGCATCCCAGATGCAACAGGACACATAAAGCAACATGATATGGCTTCTGCCATTAAAAACTCACAGTCCCGCAACACAGCCAATCACAAAAGCAACATGACAATCCAGGACACACACCAAATCACAGAGTAGGCATGGGGAAGTCTAACCCCTGGGAATGCCCTTCTTAATCTCCCATGCCAGTGTCTACAGCACCCACCAGGAAACACTATGTAGCCTGAGGCACTTCTTCAGGAACTTGACAGTTGACACAGACGGTGGACTGCTCTCTCTCTGCTGGCCACATCCCTAGAGCAACTCCACTCTTTTTGCCATTTTGTTTTCCTAGACAGGCCCTCTGAGGAAGCTCCAAGCTGGCCCTCTCCTGTGTCAGCCTCCCCAGGTACCAGAAAGTAACTTCACTTTAGGAAGCAGTGAAGGATTTAGCTATCATAGTACTTTTAAGTAAGAGAATGGTTAACTTAAAAAATCGTCTCATGCATGAGAGGGACTCCTGATAGGAAAAGGCCTACTCTTAGCAATAATTAATTCACCTGTTTTTCAACAGAAATTCCATTTTAACTTCATTTTCACTCACTCAACTTCCTGAAAAGTCTTTATTTGGATGGAACTTTTCCATGACTGGAGTTTTCCAAAAGGTGAATCATTTAGGAAAGTCTGAGCTCACAGGGTCAGCTGGCTCTGCCATAGAAAAGGGTAAGAACGGTCATCTTCCTCCCTTTCCCAAGGCTGCAAAAATTACATAGTTCTCACTGAGGCAAGACAAACAAAACATTACAACAAAGTCAGAGACACTAAAAAGACTAACTTCATGCTACACTCCCTCATTCTCACACTTAGATATTTCTCCCACTAGCTCTTTCACTTTTCTGAAAGATGCAGTGATGCTCAAGACAAAGACAAAAAAGGAAAGAAACAGTGATGCCAAGAAATTAAAAGATATGCTCAAAGACAAACACTAAGCTTGTGCCTGGGTAGTCAAAATTCAAATCTCCTAAGATCCTTCAAGGAAGCTCCTTATAGTATCTTAAATAATGTGCTTTTAAAAGGCTTGCCAATAGCCTGGCAGTGGTGGCACACACCTTTAATTCTGGTGCTTGGGAGACAGAGGCAGGTGGATCTGAGTTTGAGGCCAGCCTAAAAAATTTTGTCTCAAAAAAACAAATAAACAAATAAAGTCTTGCCAACATAGCAATTATTAACACGTTAAAT